GCCGTGTTAGTCTGGATCTGTAAAAAGCAACAGAGAGTCCTGTGGCACCTTTAAGACTAACAGATGTATTGGAGCATAAGCTTTCGTGGGTGAATACCCACTTCGTTAGACGCATGTAATGGAAATTTCCAGAGGCAGGTATAAATATGCAGGCCAGAATCAGTCTGGAGATAACGAGGTTAGTTCAGTCAGAGAGGGTGAGGTCCTCTGCTCACCTCAGCTGCTAGCAGAGGACCTCACCCTCCCTGATTGAGCTATCCTCGTTATCTCCAGACTGATTCTGGCCTGCATATTTATACCTGCCTCTGGAAATTTCCATTACATGCGTCTGACGAAGTGGGTATTCACCCACGAAAGCTTATGCTCCAATACATCTGTTAGTCTTAAAGGTGCCACAGGACTCTCACATACTTAAGTGTTTGCAGGATCAGGGCTGTCAAATGCTTTCTACCTTCCCCTTTTACCATTGGTAGGCTTCCATCACATCATATTACATCTGGCTAAAAAGCTGGGACAATTTATGTATTGCTGTGCAAATGGAGTAATTAATTAATTAATTATACCTAAGAGTAATCAAATCAAAATTAGGAGTATATCAAATAAATCAGAAGTACCTTGAAACTGTGAATTTTGAAAATTCCTGTGTCAGTTCTCTGATCACAATCTAGCTTGTTACAGCCAAAGAGATAAAGAATGAGACAGTTACTATATCCTGCCATCAGCTGTCAGATGAATAATTACTGTGAGACATGATTGCCTTGTACTGACCCTCTGAATACAAATTTCTCCCATCTATGCACAAGAATTGCATAAGGGCCTTTTTTCATGTTCTTATCAACAAATGTTTGATTTTAGTACTTTAATACTCAAAAATTAAAATGGAATATCATTTAAATGCTGCATATGGAAGTTTATCAGATGATTGCATTAGAATCAGTTACAGTAAAATTAATATCAAATTCGTTCCCAATGATTATTCCAAACTACTGGTAAAGAACGAAAACAGAGATTATAACCTGTTGTGTAAAAAAACAAAGTATACTTCCCCCAAAAGACCAAAAATAGCAAAATGGAAAGCCTGATTTGGACAAGAGCGAAACCAGAAAGGTTCTATAAGTTTCTGGTTATCACACAAACAATATGAAGCTGTAAGGTACTCCTCTTTATTGGACTAAATAAAAATACAATGGACACGCTTTTGAAAATCATGTTCTTTTCATTAGTGCATGGAAAACTGAGAAATGCAGAGCAACAGATACTCTGCAGTGTGTTAATTCAGCGCTCATAATTAAATCAAGAGTACACAGAACGAAAGACGACCCGAGAGGGAAAAAAATCAGGAAGATGTCTGGACTGGAACTTCTCTCCTTAAAAACTCTGCCTGGATTACAGTAACAGGGAAGACTACCATGGGCACCAATCCAACACATATATGTTTAACTTTACCCACTAACTTCAGTGGGATAACTCACAGTGCATAAAATTAAGCATGGCCCTAAGGTGCAGGATCAGGACACAGTGTGTAAGAAAATCAAATTACAGATTAAAATTTGTATTTTTCAAAACCTACAAAAAGTAACATAACTGATCCACTCAGGGAGTCACTGTGAGTGCTATGGGACACCAGCCCACAGGTGATAGGGTACTGGGGTACCACATGCTCAGAAGCAAGTGTTCTGGGTGCTCCAAGCACAAGGCCCTTCAGGCACTAGCCCTCAGTGGGTTCCCATAAACCAGGGGTCGGCAACCTTTCAGAAGTGGTGTGCCGAGTCATTTATTCACTCTAATTTAAGGTTTTGTGTGCCGGTAATACATTTTTAATGTTTTTAGAAGGTCTCTTTCTATAAGTCTATAATATATAACTAAACTATTGTTGTATCTAAAGTAAATAAAGTTTTTAAATGTTTAATAAGCTTCATTTAAAATTAAATTAACATGCAGAGCCCCCCGGACCAATGGCCAGGACCTGGTCAGTGTGAGTGCTGCTGGAAATCAGCTCCTGTGCCGCCTTTGGCATGCGTGCCATAGGTAGATGACCCATGCTATAAACACTCTCAGTGTCTGATGAGTAACAAAAGATTGCTGTATTAGAGCTGCCAGAAATAAACAGTGAAATGATCGTGGGGCAAAACTTAAAAGACAAACACAAGATGATAAAAACATAAGAAAATAAGAACGGCCATACTGGGTCAGACCAAAGGTCCATCTAGCCCAGTATCCTGTCTTCCAACAGTGGCCAAAGCAAGTGCCCCAGAGGGAATGAACAGAACAGGTAATCATCAAGTAATCCATTCCCTGTCACCCATTCCCAGCTTCTGGCAAACAGAAGCTAGGGACACCATCCCTGCCCATCCTGGTTAATAGCCATTGATGGACCTCCATCAATTTATCTAGCTCTTTTTTTAACCCTATAGTTATAGTCTTGGCCTTCACAACATCCTCTGGCAAGGAGTTCCACAGATTGACTGTGTGTTCTGTGAAAAAATACTTACTTTTGTTTGTTTTAAACCTGTTGCCTATTAATTTCATTTGGTGGCCCCTAGTTCTTGTGTTATGAGAAAGAGTAAATAACACTTCCTTATTTACTTTCTCCACACCAGTCGTGATTTTATAGACCTCAATCATATCTCCCCTTAGTCATCTCTTTTCCAAGCTGAAAAGTCCCGGTTTTATTAATCTCTCCTCTTACGGCAGCCATTCCATACCCCTAATTATTTTTGTTGCCCTTTTCTGCACCTTTTCCAATTCCAATATATCTTTGTTAAGATGGAATGACCACATCTGCATGCAGTATTCAAGATGTGGACGTACCATGGATTTATATAGAGGCAATATGATATTTTCTGTCTTATTATCAACACAACAGGTTCCAATTCAGCCCCTAAGTAGGGTGACCACCTGTCTCTAATTGGGTGTGACAGTCCTGAAACGCAGAGTTCAAATCCCGGCCCCAGGCTGAATGACTCCAGGACAGCATTTGTCCAGGATTCCCTGCAGCACTGCTGCGCGCCTACCCAAGGCTCAAGGGCAGAGCCAGCCTCTTCCCAATGTGGAGGAGGTGTATGAGCTGGGCCTTAGCCCCTCTTCACCACAAGGCTCCGCCCCTGCTCCTCCTTTTCCCCCCAAGGCCCCACTCCTGGCCAGGCCAGAAGCCAGAGCCGGGCCGTGGTAAGTGCCGTTCAGAGAGTCCGGACTGCTGTGGGGAGTCTTGGACCCTCCACCTGTCCTGAGCGGCTCACCCCAGGGGGTGGGGACATGGGCCAGAGGCTGCTCTCGGGCACCCTGGCCTCCTTCCCAGGGCAGGTGGAAGGTCCGGGGCTCCCCATTGTGGCATGGGCTTCCTGGCAGCTCTTAACACTGCCCAGCTCCAACTTCTGGCCTGACCAGAGGGCGGGGCCTCAGAGGGAAGAGGAGGAGCAGAAGACAGGGCCACAGAAGGGGGACACTTAGGGTGACCAGACAGCAAATGTGAAAAATCGGGACGGGGTCGGGGGTAATAGGACGTGTGTCCTATTTTTGCATTTTGAAAAGGTGGTCACCCTACCCCTACGGGCAGTCCATTACTGGAGTCTGACAATGGGGCTCCTAAGGTCTTGTGCCAGGGATACTCACTCCAGGCCAGCCTTCTCCTGGATGCCCTCATGTCCCTGGCCTGCAAATCCCCCAGCCAGAGTCCAATCCTTTTATCTGGCACATGTAGTCTCATTATAGCCTGTAACCACGCCCCCTAACTTGGTTTGTAAGCTACTCCTGGCTATCTATGAGCCATTGCCATGGCCTCCTGGCCAGCAATATGTTGCTTCCCAACCTCACCCTCTGCCCTTCAGACCCAGGTATTACACTGCATGGCCTTCTCTCCCCAGCCAGCTCCCCTCTGACTCAGCCTATTGTCACTACTTTTTGCTATTACTCCCAGGATGGAGAATTACCCTTTCTATTGATGCTAAACAATCACAGAGTATTTGCTTTTTTGTGAGGGAGGGTCTAAATTCCAAATCTATTTCTTTAAACTGGTATTTTAGCCCAACTATTATTTGTTCATATAGTTCATACATAGGGTCTGCCATTTTAGCAGTAAACATTACTTTGATTTGATTTTATCCTTAAGAGCACTCAGATATCCTTGCCTGACAAGTGCTATATAAATGCAAATCACATGATATTGTCATAAGATGAGAAATCAAATTATCATGATTTGTGAAACATCATTATGGTCCAGCAGCATGTAATGAAAGCAGTTTTCATAGTGCCAGCATTTTTGTTTTGTTTTTTTCATATTTACAGATGAACTCAGCATCTTCCTGACTAGTGGCATGTTCTGAAGTAAGAAAAGGGCATTTCTTTTTCGTTTGTTTGGATATATTTGATTTGAATTAAAGAAACCTCTTTAAGGCCATTATCTTTCTCTATAATCTGTGATTAATGAGATTCCTACAAGAACCTATCAATTTAAGATCTTTATTTTCTGAGTGTTTATGTGAAAAGCTCTTAAATAAGGTGTGTGCAGTATTTCTTTTACTAAAACTCAGCTTAAAATGAGAGATGCTCCAACTGGATTGATTAAAATAAAAAACCATTTAAAGTAGCAGGGTGCTGGATATTGACCCCTTACAAGCATAATGACCCTATAACTGTCCAGGAGAGGGCTGGACAGTGCAGAACACATGTTTTGCAGGAAATTCAAGACTGGGAGTGTGTTGAGGTCACCCTGCAGGTAGTAATCAAGGCTGCTCAAAGCCAGAGTGTGGCTGGTGTGTTGCCAACAGGTTGCTGGGGTCAGAGTTGCTGGATCAGGATTATAGCTATACACAAACACTCAAGGTATGACCTGCTTGCTATTTGTGAGTAGCCCAGGTTGGGAGCTACAACAGCAAAGCATTGTGAGGCACACAAGGTTGCAGGGTAGGTGGTGACACAACCCCTCACTGGTCTGAATTATACCCAGAATGTGATGCCTATCCACTTGCAAGAATGAAGAGAAAGAGAGAAAATGTACAAACCTGTAACAATTTCAATGAACGCGATAGCTCCTTCAACATAACCTCTGACTCTTTGCAATGTGAAATTATAAATGCCGCCAGCAGTCAGTCCTGTAACTGTGTAGTCATTCAGCACTCCCAAAATACTATATTCTTTCCTGAATGTACTGTTTGATATAGATACTGTATAATGGGTGAAGTTGGTCCTGGTTGGATTCCACATGAGTGTGGCAGAGCCAGTATTTGCCTTTTTTAACATTAGACCACATATCCCAGCTGGTTCTACAGTTTTAAAGAAAAAAGATAAATAAGATAGACAGATATATTAGACTGACAAAGAAAATAAATTATAAATAATTAATTTAAATAGACTTTATCATATTCAACTAAAAGTTACACCAATCTGCAAAAAATAAGGAGTTTTAATGTGAATGTTTTGAGGTTTCCTAATATTATGAAATATAAAGCTTTTCAGGAGATTTTCTGGTCAAAGATGCAGAATAGCCAGTACAGTTCTGCTACCTGGAGAAAGAAGGCAGGATTTGGGAAGCAAGTACAGTGGCTATGCACCCTATGTACATAATACAGCTAGTCAGAGTTGCAGAGACATGAGAATTGAGCCCTTCATAAATAACATTAATGATTCTATTCACAGAAATGTAAAGTTTACAAAAATATCATGGACAATACTATTTTATAAGTGAGGAATTAAGTCACTAAATATTTCATATATTCACTTAAAAGTCAACACATCTAACTATCCAGGGTCAATGATAAAAGTTACTAAAAAAAGACTTTTTGTACTTATAATAGTGTTTCTAAAATGACATTATTTTTAATTAATAATTAATAACTAATAATTAATAGTGTTTTCTTTAACATATGTGCCTTGTTACAATTTGAAGGAAAATGCTTCTCAGGTTTCCCTAACGGTGCACATTACAGAAATGTTAATTAAGCTTGCATGCAGTCTCCTGAAATCTTGTTAATTAATGCAACATTTTTCTGTGAAAATTGGCAGGGCTTACTATTAAGAGCAAGGAAAAGCCTATTCACAGTTACATCTTTGCCCAGCTACATATTGGATTGACCCTCAATACTCATGAGAATATTTGGCCAAAGATGGACTTTTCAAATAGGGGAAGATGCTTACTCCCTCTGCCTGGGATGCATTTTGCATCAATAAGAATCTGCAGGGCTGGGGCTGGCTATCCTGTGAGTAACTGGCTGAGTAGGTTCGCTGTGCTTGCAGAGCAAGCTCACTAAATTTCTCAATGGTTAAGGAGTTTGAGACCAAATAAACCATAGGAAACCACAAAATAAGAGGAGGGAAGGGCTGAGAGATGTGTGTATGAGTTTGGTGGTTGATTTATTTTTTCCAGAATCTGACGTAAATCTATTTCTCCATGACTCCTCCCCAAACATCCCCTACTCTTTCCATGCTATTCTCTGGTAGCACTACTGCCAATGCAATGGAACTTCTTCAACTTGGTGTTTACTTTTTGTACCTGCTGAGTATTTGGAGCACAATTTGTCTACTCTGTCATGCTTTCTAGCACAGTCAAGCACAAGAGTTTCTTCTCCTGAGTAGGCTGCAGCCTCTGTACCAGAGCAATCCTCCAGTTTAGTATCTCTATTTTGCAGAAATTTTAAGAAACGCTGAAACACTTGAAAGTAAAGTGTAAGATCATATTAAAAGCATTAGGATCTGTTCTTGGAACACTCAGTGGAGATGGCACATCTAGAGCTGGAAGTTTGTTGCTTCATGTAGCTACATCTCTTCCTTTAATGCTGTATCTGTAATTGAACCCACAGCTCTTGAGTTTTAACCCAGTGACTAAACATAAGACTTTCCTCTGGATTACCAGTGCAACTAGGAGCTGAATGTAGCCCATAGCCTTCACTTTACTGCACTATTCTTTTGTAACCACATATATTCATTACAACTAGCCTGTTTATTTTGCCACTTTAAAAGAAACCAACTTAGAAAAACTATAAGGTGTTTTCTCACTTGTGGTGACTTTTTTCTCCACAGCCATGCTGGAATCCAAGCCTTTAATTGTCTTTAATTGAAACAAGTAGTCCATTCCAGGGGTCAGATTTTTCACTACAGCTCTGCTGCCATACACAGTTGTTGTACGTAGTGTTTCACTGTTTGTTATCAAACAATAGGAAAGCTACAGAAGAAAAATACATTTTAATATCAAATTCTTTCACCTCACTTTAGTAATGTTCAGAGATGCCAGCTAATTGCTCATAGTGAAAATGTATTTATAATAGCCAAATATTGCAAAGACAGAAAATCTTTTTCAGAGATTAATACTAAAGTTCACAAGTTTTGTAACACTTTCCACAAAAATCTGTAATAAATTAGGGTAATTAAAAGAGGCAGCCTAGACTAGTGGACCCAGCACAAACTGGGAGTCAGGAGCCCTGGATTCTAGTCCCAGCTCAGCCACTGACCTAGTCTGCTTCACTGGGCAGTTACCTCACTTCTCTGTGCTTTTAGTTCCCCTCTCACTCTTGTCACTTTAGTTCATAAGTGCTTCAGGGCAGGACTGTCTATCAGTGTGTGTTTATACAGTGCCTAGCACAATGGGTACGTCTACATGGCACACAAAGTCCTAGCTCTGACTCAGGTTTGAGCCCAAGCCCCTTTTCTACCCACCCACGAATCAGTCTGACTTGAGTCAGCAAGGACTCAGGATCCAGGTCCTAGGACCCTGCTAGAGGGGAAGGTCAGAGCTCAAATTCCACGGTGACTCAGGTCCAAGCCCTGTCATCTTGCAATGTGGACACAGGTCAAGCTGCAGACCTGAATCAGAAGGTCTGCATAGTGCAGTATGGAGGCGTTAGCACAGCTGTGAGACCCAAGACCAGCAATTGTAAACCTAGGTTTACAATGTAGTAAGGACACTCAAGCATGGGTTTACAAACACTGAGTTCACAAGCCCAGGGCTTAGTGTGTAGCGTAGATATCCCCTATGAGGCCCTAATCTCAGCTGAGACCTCTAAGGGTATGTCTACACTGCAATGTAAGCCCAGAGTTAGTGGGACTCGAGTCAGCTGACCCATGTTAGGAACTCCTGGACTTGAGCATCTATGTTGTATTTTAACCCTAGGTTAAGAATTTTCTGACCAGTGCTCGAACCTAGGGCTCTGGCATTCACATTGCAGTGCAGACCTGAGTCAAAGTAACCCTATACCTAGTGCCCCCTTCCACCTCTCCAAAATGTGGCTGTTCTAGACCTAGGAACATGGTGCACTGTGGGAAAACTTTACAGCCCACCCAGCACATTATCAGGAAGCAGCTCGCTTTGCAAAAGGCTTGATCAGTTTGCTCTCTGATGCAAACTCAAGAGGGTCTCTGATAGCGTGTTTGCAGATGGGTGATCCAAACACAATGGGTTAATGCTGATCTGAGTTACTGCCATTTGCCAAGAGGTTGGGGGAGGCTTCTGTTTTCAATAGAGTGGATTGCAGATTGTTGGGATAGAGAAGACAAAAGAAGTTGTCCCATGGAATTTTGGGTTACAGTAGAACCTCAGAGTTACAAATACATCAGTCAAACACACACCTCATTTGGAACTGGAAGTACGCTATCAGGCAGCAGAGAGCCAAAAAAAGCAAATACTATACAGTACTGTGTTAAACATAAGCTACTTAAAAAAGGGAAAGTTTTAAAAAAGATTTGACAAGGTAAGGAAACTGTTTCTGTGCTTGTTTCTTTAAATTAAGATGGTTAAAGGCAGCATTTTTCTTCTGCATAGTAAAGTTTCAAAGCTATATTAAGTCAATGTTCAGTTGTAAACTTTTGAAAGAACAACCATAACATTTCGTTCAGAGTTGCAAACATTTCAGAGTTAGGAACAGCCTCCATTCCCGAGGTGTTTGTAACTCTGAAGTTCTACTGTACTTCCAGATGACTCCTAGGACCTGAGTCACGTGGGGCTGTGGCTACATTGCAAAGCAATAGGGCTTGGACCCTAGGTCTCGTACTACTCAAATTTGGAACCTCCAGCCCCACAGGATCCTGGGACCCTTGGTCTGAACACTGGGTGTGACGAAGTGGGGTTTTTTCTTGTTTTCTGTGGGGTTTCAATGGTTTGCATGTGGAGGGGGTGGGACTCAGTTTCCCTGGGTGTTACTGATTTAACGAGGTGAGGGGAGAGGGAGTTTGTTGTTGCAGAGGACTGGAGAGGGAACTTGGGACCCCAGCCAATGGCCTGGAGGATGGATACCCCAGCGACCGGTGACCTGGCGACTCGGAGACCCAGCTCAGGAGTTGCAGCCAGTTCTGGCCCGTGGGAGGACAATGGGCTGCAGAGAGAGGACCCCAGTGACCTAACCAGCTGGTTCCAGCCAGAGGACAGAAGCGAGGAGAGGAGGCCCCAGTTTACGACCCTGTTTACCTGGAGAGAAGATAATGGACAGAGGCGGGGTTTGGGGCCGCGGATAGCAGATGCCCAGCGGGGAACAGGGGGGCTCTGGGATGGAGAGGGGGAGCAGGCAGAGCCCACCAGGATGCAGGGAGACGGGGGTGTGCTGGGCTGAGGGAGGCCAGGCCTGAGGCCCTGAGAGTTTCCTGTGCTGTGTTCAACTCTCAATAAACCTTCCTGTTTTATGCTGGCTAAGAGTCACTCCGGTCTAGAGAACAGGGTTGCATCAACCCCTTTGGGGGTGGAGGGCCAGGGGGTCCAGAGCGAGTGGACTCCCTGAGGGGGCCCACGGCGAGAAACAGGTGTGCTAAGGCTCAGAGAGGTGCGGCTCCAAGAGGTGGAGGGGCCTGACTCCGAGAGGAAGTGGACTCCCGAGAAGGGCTGTCTCACTGAAAGGGGCACCCCCCACGGACCGCCAAGAGTGGGGCCAAGATTGGGCAGGGGCCAAGAGTGGGCACGATCTGTGAGTCCGTGACAACGGGTTAGTGTAGCTGCAAGGGGGTTAGCTTTGAGCCTGGGCTCAAGCATGGTCTTACACTGCAGTGTAGACATATCCTAAGAGCAATCTTAATACAAATAACAACAATAGTAAAAGACTTTAAAGTACATCCTCTGCCCCATTTTAATCTGCATTTGAAGCAGCAAAAATACTTGTGTGGGGAAACTGAAGTCAACAGAAAACAAGTCTATGTTCTTTTCATCATTATAAAACTAAGACTTCACTCCAGTTAACCTCCCTCCATCACTCTATATTTAAAGAAGGAAATAACTAAGATCCAGACCCCTATCCATTCCAAATGGGGCCAACACAGAGTTTTATCAGGAAGCGGGGGGGGGGGAGAGGTGATTTGTCCAGATTACCGCCACCTGAAGAAGCAGCAGAGAGGAATTGGCCCTCATACACCACAGGTCCACAGACCTCTGCACAAATTTAGGAAGATTTGCTGGAACCCAGGGCTATTTGCATTGAGGTCCTATGCGTCTGCACCATCTCCAGAGCCACCTGCCCCCTCCAGTAGTAGAGCAGCTTCACAAACACTAAATTCACTATTTAACAAAAGAGAGAAAATGAAAACCCTGTTTTATAGCAGTATTTCCAAAGGGCGGGGTGTCCCCCCCATGCAAGGACTGGCTCATGGGGTGGGGCGGTGTTGGGAGCTGTACAAATTAAGAGAGGCAGGCCTTTAATAACACATGGTGGGTTTCAGGGGGGCCATGAATTAGTTCATTTTACTTTGAAGTGGCACTCAGCATTCATAAGTTTGGGGAGCACTGCCTTATATGCTGGAGTGGCAAATTCAGTTATCTTCAAAGAGTTTATTAAACAGCTGTGGAAGGAATTTGAAATGTCTTAACCTTTCTACTTCTCTTTCCATTTTATTTTCATGTTTCTTACTAACGTATTGGTATTTATACTACAGCAGTGCACACAAGCCCCTGTCAGGATTGGGGACCTGTCATGTATAGGCACCAAATAAGATGAGGTCCCTGCCCCTGGTTATCTGTAACATTACAGAAATAATTACTTTCCCTTTTAACAAACAGTTTAATTTAAATTTATGAAACTACAGTATATTATTTTATCATAGGGGTTTTTAAATAGCTTGAAAGAGTAATGGCTAAACAGTTCACTCAACACCTTGGCAGCAGTGTAGAGCGATGTAGTTGACTCAGTGGCTGGCATGACTTTAGGAGATTCATTTCCCAGGCAGATGGAGCTCAGTAATGGCTGACAGGTGAGGTACTTGTGCTCTAAAGGAAAATAACAGTACACTTTAATAGCAAACCCAGCTAGCTGAGTCACAGAGCAGTACTGACCCCAGTTTTGAAGGAGACCACCTACCAGCCATTTGGATTAGAGTGAAGATGTAAAGAATAAGAACTACCTAATGGGTAAAAGAGCAGGCCAAGAATTAATGGATAGGATCAGGCATATAGATTTACTTTGGGCTGGAGCCAAGTACTTCAGAGCTCTTGGTGCACCTGGACCAAAAGAAAAAAATCATATAATATTCTTTAAAACTGGGATTTTCAAAGGAGCGTAAGGGAATGACACCCAACTCCATTCATTGGTATGCTTCAGCAGCTCTATCCTACTCCAAAGCCGTATAACTGCTTTCTGTCACCACAGAGGGATAGTACCATTGCACTGGATCATACCAACAAACGGGATTTGGCCACATAACTCCCACAGGCTTCTTTGAAAATCCCAATGTAGATTCCTAGGCAGTTTCAAGGTTTGTGAGACCAGTCTTGCCCTAGTTCCTTCCATGGGCATTGAAAGCCCTGCATACAATGAAACTCTGCAGCACAGGAGAGCAAGAGTTAAGAAGCACATGAAGGAAGTCTGAAAACACATGTGCCACAGAGCTGTGCTCTATAAGAGCCCCTTATGCTTTAGCATGCATGGTTTTTGAGGGGCAAGAGTTGGGCCAGGGGAAAGGAAAGGAAAGGTAGAGCCACAACTGCACAGATCCACCAGCTGCTTTTTCAAGACAGGTGGGCTCGGGGGTGACGAGAAGTATCACAGGAGCGAGAGAGATCTGAAAGCACAGTAGTACAGCCAGGAAGTGGCTGGGAGTGCGGATTCCATCCCCTCAGACCCTTGTGTATCTCCCCAGCACAGTGCCTGTTTCTTTGGGCTTAACTCCAAGGACAATGTTGTTTATTCATGTGAATTACAAAGAGTGGCAAAATACTAAAAGCAAAGTAATGCATTAAAATATCTACATATATATATAAAACAAGAAAGCACATTTTAAGTATTATCTTCACTCTACAAACTACTATACATGTCACGGAAAGATGGTGAGCTGGGATGATTAATTTTAAATGATTAGTAAAATGATCCCAATTATGCAGGTACACTTTGCTAAGTAACCAGTCTACTGAAGTCTTTCTCATTAAAGTTTTACACAATCTCATTTATTCAGGAAAAACACTGTCTAACATGGCTGCCTCCTCTATGATTAGTCAAACAATAATACTGTGTCACAGAGATTAATATTAGTGATTAAAAAATTTTTCCATATGATTTGGCAAATACACCCTTGCCAAACACATACAAACAATTTCAAAAGCACATCTCAGCTGGCATAGAAAATCAAAGAGAACTTATTTTAAAAATGAGTAAAATACTATAGGATGCATGAATGAATTGTGCTGTGGCTGGGATCACTGGCCACTCTCAGTAAGTCAGATTGATGGTGTACACTGTATTCTTACTCTAGTGGAGGTACCAATCCAAGAAACTGCTATATTAAGAAAACTCAGATTATAGGACGTCAATGTCACATGTCAAATCTGAAACCTTAGTGCAAATATAGAGAAAAATCCAATTTCTAATATCAAAGGGCACAAACTTCTCTTTTTAATTATCTAAGAGAGCTTTGTATCAAAGGGGTAGCCGTGTTAGTCTGGATCTGTAAAAGCAGCAAAGAGTCCTGTGGCACCTTATAGACTAACAGACGTATTGGAGCATGAGCTTTCGTGGGTGAATACCCACTTCTGCGGATGCACAAGAGCTTTGTATCCAACTTCTCAGATAGAGATAATCCCCATATTATATTATAGGCAGAGTATTTAGTGATGCCTGTATGTAAAGTTGCCTAATATTTTTCATTATAATCCCCTGTTTAAAGTTGCTTATAAATGTGCCAGTTTTTAATTGTTTGGGTTGAAATTCTCCATGCTTGGTTTCTGCCTCAGATTACAGGAGTTTTGCCAATGCTGATTCCCTCCCCCGCCACCCCCACACAAAACTATTTCACTGAAGAGGTGCTTTGGGGGTTTGGAGCAGGGACTTGACATTTGGCAGAGATGGTCATCAGTAGAGCCTGGTAGAAGCTTGCTGCTACAATCTCTGAACATTCCATATACACTAAATATGTTCCCTAGCCCCACTGATCTTCCATTTGCATTTAGCATGCTCACAGATCCTTACAGCTCCCTATATAACAACTACACTGAGTATGCTTCTAACCTCACAAAACTCCCTACGTGTCATTTGCATTACACATTCTCCTAGCCCAAATAGCTTAATATACGTCGACTGCACTGAGCATGCTTCCAGGCCCCATTGCACTTCCATCTGCATTGAACATGCTCCCAAGTCCGATAGACCTTGAGTTCCATATAGGACACAGCAGCAGCATCAACAACAAGAAGAGGGATCCTGACCCCTCCTTGGGCAGGAAGGAATCATGAATTCTACTCTTCTGTCTTCCATAGCCTGATATTAATATCTCTGTGCACTTCATAACCCTTATCATATTGAGAAGAGCTTCATGACCCTAGTTAGGAGGCAGGCAAGTATCATTCTTCCCATTTTACAGATGGGGTAAAACAGATGTTAGTCAAGGACTCTTCTGACAGAACCCGGAACAGAAACCTGTATCTGATATGGCAAGTCTCATCCACTTGGCCACACTTCTTTTCTCTTAGTCTCTAAGGTGCCACAAGGGCTCCTCATCATTTCTGTCAGTTAGTGTTTAGCTTAAGAGGTAGGGGTCTGTGCTGTGGATCCACACTTCTTTTCAGAATGAATGTGCCAAATATATATGTTTGGCTATGCTTTCATGATCAACAGCAAATAAGCAGAAGGTTATAAGAAGAGAAAGGATAGTCTCTTGGGGTTAAGGCACTGTATTGGGCCCCAGGAGGACTGGATTTTATTCCAGGCTCACCTAGAGACTTCGTTTGTGATGTTGGGTAGGACCCTATCATAATACACGTGCACAGAGGGCCCAAATTACCATTGCATGGGTAAACTTACCAGTAATTCTGGCATTCCCTTACTTTTGAGTGCTTGAGTGCAATCTTAACATACTTTTAACATCATTTTATGTATGATGCTAATATAAAGATAGCTGATTTTCCTCAAATGACAGTAATCCTTTCACAAATTAATGTGAACTAGAAAGACAAAATTCCCTTTAGGTTTTGCAGTATATGGTCTATTTCACTGAGAACTGAAAAGGATTTAAAAGGCAGCATTAATTTTTACACATTATTTATCTCACCTGAAACATTTCAAAGCCTCCTCTTGGCAGTTTCCAAGACAAATATACGGTGTTCTCTTCTTGTCCAAAAACCTGTAAATCTAAGGGTGGATCAGGATCTGAGGTAAAGATAGACAGAGATACATAATATAATATCAGAATATTCTAGACAAGTTTAAAGGAGAATGAATTTTATAAACATTTTTAAATACATATTTTACATTTCATACTAAATATGAAAATAAAGTTTACATTTCATAGCTCAGAAGAATGAAGGATAGACTGAATTCATTCCTACATGTTAATAATAGATCATGTTGTTGCTTGAGGTACAGTGTGATAAAATAACTAGTAAATTATAAAAACAAAATTGGTTTAGGGAGATGAAAGTAATGCAAAGTTCTGTAGAAAAAGCAATTTTATTTACATTATTTTATTCTAATTATTCACACCATTTATCTAACTACATGTAGCTTCCCTTAACTACATAGAAGAAAATTATTTGTTTCTCAATATTTTCATTTATTTCATGTTTACAGCTCTTTAGCTTGAAAGGTAAGAATGTTATACATGTGTATGAATTTAATCATAACATTAAGATTCCTGGATTAAATAAAAATATATTTCAATCAAGACTCTAAAAAAAAGAACAGCCCTTACTATCTCCAGCCCTGACAATTAAATAAATAAGCATGAACTTACAAGTACTAATCTTGATGGTGGTAGGATGGCTTTTCTTTAATCCATTGGTAGTCACAATACTAATTAAGAAGTCAGTCCCTGGGGAAAGACTTTCAAATCTGAACATTCTACATATTTAAGAAAAACATGGTTATATTTTTAAGAATTTGGAAAACAAATATATATTATTACTGTACATCATTCACAGATTAATTATTATTACATGGACCTAATGCAAAAGTTATATGCATATGCTGCCAGCCATTGAGATTGCTTTTATATGATGCAAGTTAAATTCCTTACAGGAATCATGTTCAGATCCTGCAGTCACTCTATATGCAACATTCAGGTAGCATTAATTCATTTCAGACAGAGATGGATCTGAGATGATAAATTTTGACCCAGATCGTGACATGACCATAGGCTGGTGGGTGGGTATTCAGACCCAGGGTTTTAATTTGGGCTTATCTAGGTATAAAGCCCATTAGATTTGTTTATTTCTAAAAAAAAAAAAACTGATTCATAAAAGAGGAAGAGGAAGATGTTTGTTGATCAAGATTAAGATTTTTTTTCTGTATGTAAGTGCACATTAATATTAGTGTGCAGGGTTGGACTAGATGACCTCTTGAGGTCCCTTCCAGCCCTACATTTCTATGATTCTATGAGTTTTAAACTTACCTGTCAAACAATGAATATTACATATAAATAATAATTCAGCAGAGTCTCTTTAAATATGCAATGTGACATCTGGTTATATATATTTATTTGATTGGGCAGTAAAATATCATCCTCGTACCTTACACTGGAAGATAATATTTCCTCTTTGCGGAAGCTTTTGCTGATAATTGAAATAATGTATCCATCAAATATATTTTGTGCTGATGGCCAGGTAACAGTTATTGATTCTGAGTCTTTACTGTGATTCATATATTTAACCAGGCTTGGTACTGTGTCAATAAAGAAAGCAATGTTTAAATAGCCTATTCTATCATAGGGCTAACAGCACCAATTACCCCCAGCCAAAAAAAACCACCACACCTAGTAAAGTTTGTATAGACCCTAAAATATACTTATCACAAGGATACACAGAGTAATACATACAGGACTTGATTCTCCACTGTACCATACCTCTGAGTAAAAATAATAGGGAACTGGTCACAACTCCCTGATTTACAGCCACGTGGCCCCCATACAAATTAAAATTGCAGGAGGGGCAGCTTTAATTTACATCACTGACACAAGGTCCCTCAAGGACTTCACACTAGTGGGGAATTGGCATGCTCCCTCTCTGTCTCCACTCTCAGGAGTAGCAGGAAGGATAGAAAAAGAGACAGACAGGCCAGGAACAGAAGTGGAAGGGGTCAGGAGGTGGGGTTGTGAATAGGAACAGAGGGGGAAGTGTGGTGGATAAGAGGAAAGGAGTACAGGACAAGAGCCAGCTTGGGTTGGACAAGAGCAGGGGGCAGAGAGCACACAGTAGGGTCAATAACCACTACAGCACACTCCCTTCTAGAACCTTGAATTGAACCCAGGTAAGTCTCTATAGTCCTTAATTCAGCCCTATGTGTTATGAGACAGTCTTTAGTTATCTTAGCACAAAAATACAGCTTTTTTGTAGCCTTACAGCCACAGCTGAGTCACCCCTACTAGCCAACCAATCTCTGGAGGAAGAAGCAGCAGTACGGTGATGAGCTCTAAACCGCAAAATCATTAACTGGGGATGGTACTAGATAGGGGCAGTATAATCACTTGATGGTGATATTGGAACACAATACAATTGGCAGTGTCTTCAGAGAAGCAGCCTAAGTAAGTTATGAGTGCAAATGGGTGATGGAGTAAGGGGCGTAGGGTGACCAGATGTCCCGATTTTATAGGGACAGTCATGATTTTGGGGTCTTTTTCTTATATAGGCTCCTATTACCCCTCATCCCTTGTCCCGATTTTTCACACTTTCTGTCAGGTCACCCTAAAGGGGAGAGAGAACCTTCTGAAACTGAAAGAGTCCTGTGGATTGAAAATAATTCCAGAAGGAAAGAAAGTTGCAAACAAACCTGGGTTCAAGTGATAAAGGGCCTTAACTGAGAGCAGGAGGTAGCTGTAAGGAAACAGAATTTAGTTGTGTGACAGAAAGAAAAAAATCATGGCAGCAGAGAGATAGACAGCAGAAAGTGTGATTAAAATCAAAGGGCCGTGACATAAGATTTATTAAGCTGAGATGGGAAATATATATGCTTCTGAGAACTAGAGTGCCTGACTGAAAGGAAGACCAACCTACTCTGGTGGAAACTAACCTGATATGGACAGCACCTAAGAATACAGACATGATTGGAAAAGAAAGAAAAACAGAAAACACAACTGATGTGAAGTCCAATGAGACTTCAATATTGCAGAAAAACACTACATAGATATTTCATAAGCCAAAGCTGAAGATGGAGAATATATATATATATATATACACACACACACACAAATTCATTCCTGGTGTAAATGGATGCAACTCCAAAAGGATGCCAATGGGAATTGCACCCATGTACAGGAATCAGTTGGGTCCACAATACACAAAGTTGCCCAAATTCAACAACTGAGCAAGCAGGATCAGACATTAAAGTGAGAAATTCTAAGGCAAATTATTTTGCTTGCTTTTTCTAATGACTAGCAACACTTGCCAAGCACTGTGCAATATCAGTCACAAGAGTGGACATCTGGCAACATAATTCTTAAGATAACATTAGCAGGACCATGGCAAAGTTTAACCATACCCAAATATGCTTTTCAGAGCAGGGAAACAGCCAAAGAAAAGAGCCAAGAAGATAACAATGAAGGAAAAGTTGGAAGAAATTATGAAGATGGTTGAACTAACTACCTAAGACAAAAAAGTTTCAAGCAACTGCAGGAGAATTCAAGTAATACTGGTAGAGGCAAACGTATACCAAATTATAACAGTAAGGTCTCACCTGTCTCTATTTCTTTTATTACAAGAAGGCTGTCTTTGAAACCTTCTTTTTCTGTTCGAATTGTAAAGTTGTACAGCATTCCAGGAATAAGATTGGAAAACAATGCCATTTCTTGCATGACTTTTTGGACCTACAAATCAAACGTTATAGCTTACGTATTTCTATGGAACTGCTTCAAGTTTTTTTAAGTAATAGTAAACTGTTTATTTGAAGCATCTCTGTGTTTTGAATGGGTTAATATCTGTTAGCATCAGATACAATTTATTTGACTAGAAGCAGTGCAACAGTAACTTTCTTGACTATACACAATTAATGTTCTTTAAAACATACCATGATAGTGCCTGCACAATTTGTACATGTGACTTCATACTGCTGAAAATTTCCATCAGCACGATCCCAAACAATTTGTATTGAAGTATCTGTAACTTTACCTTCATGTACATTTAGTGGAGCTGCCAGACCTAAAAAAACCAAACCACATAAAAACATCTAAATGCAATGGGCCCTATCCATCAGTTCTGCACACATAAATGCCATTGAAGTCAATGGGAGACATGCAAGTGAAGGACAGCAGGATGAGACTTTATATTGTGAGTATTTTCAGATCCCCATAGAGGCCAGTGAAAGTCTGGAACAGAAACAGATGGCAGGATAGGATCCAAGATCACATAAGGCCTCAACTGGAGTATTGTGTCCAGTTCTGGGCACCACATTTCCGGAAAGATAAGGCCAAACTGAACAAAGTCCAGAGAAGAACAACAAAAATGATTAAAGGTCTAGAAAACATGACTTATGAGGGAAGATTGAAAAAACTGGATTTGTTTAGTCTGGAGAAGAGAAGACTAAGGGGGGACATGATAGCAGTTTTCACAGACATATAAGGTTGTTACATGGAGGAGGGAGAAAAATTGTTCTCTTTAACATCTGAGGATAGGACAAGAAGCAATGGGTTTAAATAGCAACAATGGAGGTTTAGGTTGGACATTAGGAAAATCTTCCTAACTGTCAGGGTAGTTAAGCACTGGAATAGTTGTGGAATCTCCGTCACTGGAGATTTTTAAGAGCAGGTTAGACAAACACCTGTCAGGGATAGTCTAAATAATACTTAGGCCTGTCTTGAGTGCAGGGGCCTGGACTAGAAGACCTCTTGAGGTCCCTTCCAGTCCTACACTTCTATGATTCTATAACAAACACACACATACACAGAAGCAAAAATTTGAAAAAAGAAAAGTAGGGAAAGAATGAGAGCTAATATTCGTCAAAATTCAAAGAAAATCAGTTGCTACTGATGAATTTGCCAATCTGAAAACCATATTGGGTCTGATTATGCATTTCCCTCTTGTGGCAGAGCTGGCATTTCTGGGCAGGCTAGTAAAAACTTTTTTGCCATCCACTCCCCCAAAATGTAACTAATCCCTCTCCACTAGTATCACACCAGCATGCCCAAGCCTAATCTAAGTATTGTGGAATGGGTTAGCAAGATGATACTATGGGTGGGGTTAGGTTCCAGCGTATAAGTTTTAAACAAACAATTTAATACTGCTACACAGCGATGATGATTGTGAGGCTTGGTTGAGGTGGCGAAATCAGAGGGTAGGATATTTCCCAGGGAATGCCTTACTGCTAAATGATGAACTAGCAATTGGCTGACTCATTTTTGTTAATGTAACCTCACACTCTACAAGGCAGCACGAATGGAGGGAGGAGAGACAGCATGACAGACAGAGATAGAGACACACACCATGTGTGTGAGAGAGAGCTTTAGTGGTGAGTGTCTCCTATGAAATGATGCTGAGCTTAATTCTCATTGATGTTAGCACCTTGCAGCATTGAAATGTAAACACTATTACACATCCCCTAACATACCTTGAGATGCATCCATAAGCACAGACCTATTGATATCAGGACACAGAAAAAGCTCTGTTGATATTCATCTGATTGACTAAATAGGAATGGTCAAAACATCAATACTTTTTCCCACAAGGCCAACAACAAATTTAATATTGTTTTAATTCTTGAATTACATGCTAATTATTAGTAGAGACTTGGTACAAATAAAGCATCTAAATGAGTACAAAGACTTAAAATATTAGCAATGCTAATGTATAGTTATAGCTTTCTTTATAAAACATCTAGTGGTATGATTTAATTATGAATTTCCGAAATAGATCTCACAGTGTATCTATACTGAGTAGAGGAGATCTTGGCCTTCAAAAGCGATTTAAAGTTGTAATTTAGGAAATTACTTTTTAATTTACTTACATGTTTTTACACCAGGTACGTGATATACGGAGCTTAACGTGTTTCTACTTACTGTAGAAACATAAAAATCATATTCTGTGCCTGGGATCAAGTTTTCAATTGTTACTTTATTATCATTCTTTAAAGCCAGCGTAGCATTAGGTCCTCCTTTGCTTGTAACATATATACCATCAAATATTCCAACATCAGGTATTTGAAGAAATAAAACCACAGAATTACTAGAAATGTCATAAGGGACAATAATCTGAACTGGTTTGGGCTCTGGAACAAGAAAAAATAGAGCAAATGTTAGATGAGTTAACAAAAAGCTAAATGAAAATACAGTAACTCCTCACTTAACGATGTAGTATTTTCCTGAAAAATGCGACTTTAAGCAAAACAATGTTAAGCGAATCCAATTTCCCCATAAGAATTAATGTAAATGGGGGGGTTAGATTCCAGAGAAATATTTTTCACCAGACAAAATAAATATATATATTTATACATCCTCGATCATAAGCCGGTTCATTTATAAGTTGACCACTGCAAGATGGATAAGTAAAAATGGAAATTTTTATGACCCATTCATAAGCCTACCCTATAATTCAGGGGTCGGCAAACTTTGGCTCCCAGGACATCAGGATAAGCCACTGGCGGGCTGAGGCAGTTTGTTTACCTCGAGCATCTGCAGGCATGGAGGTAAACCTAAGTAAACAAAGTGTCCCAGCCCGCCAGCGGCTTACCCTGATGGGCCGAGACAGCAACTGGTGTGGAAATTTTGCGGGGGGGGGGAGGGGAAGGTGAGGAGTAGGAGAGAGAAGCTGGGAGTCAGGGGTTGG